AATCCAGTTAACAGGAGCATGTTCCTCTATTATATCTTTCAGGGATTATAGTAAGTGTCGACAGCTGGATGTTTGGTGCATTCTTAAGTATCATCTCAAAATACGACTGCCCTAACGGAATTCTAACATTGACATCGTTCTTTTATCCATTTTCTGCTAGGATACTAGCCTATAATTTCCATGATTGTCCCAGTTAAAGGAAATATTTTTAGCACTACTTCATTAGCCTGTTGTTTCTCGACCCAAGTCGGGGAATATAAGGCGTTTCACTTTTTAGTTCTCTAATGAAAATCTCTTTGTCTTTATTTTTAATTTTTAATGAGCTTTAGAAATATTTAATTATTATCCTAACTTCAACAATCTCTTTGATATTTATCGCCACTATATTTTAAGTGCCATTTGTTTAATTGCTTTCAGGCACCAAACTTTTAAATCTTTTGGATTGAAATAACTTTTCTTATGCCACTGCTAACTTTTAATTTTTGTTGAAGCTATCAATAGGTCCAACTTTTCAACGATACTTAGAGAGAAATACTGATTTTACTGACCACACTAATCATATTTTACAGCTATTTGGATGAGGGACGTTTTATTTTCTTATCCCACTATCAAAGTTGTATTCCCTTCTCTTTTAACTACCTGAACCTTTAGGCATTGTATGATGGGCTTTTCTTTTTTTCTTGCTCAATCGCATTGTATTTAATGCCATCATCATAATTATTTAATGGACGGGCCGTCATTATTTTTTCATTATATATATATGCGTTAACGCAAAATCACTTCCGCCAATTTAAGCACCTTTATTATTTATGCTCCATACGAAAAGAACTCTAAATTTTTTGGCCATCCTTTACCCAACAGTTGAGTTCATTCAGTTGGACTATCATTTGAATGGCCTTATAGATATAATTTACCTAGAACATCTAAAGCTTATATGTAAATGCGTGACTAGTTTAATCGAGTGGCTTAAAATCGAATCACAGAGCAATTATTTTCAATAAAAATGTTTGTTTTCAGACCAAGATCAAAAGCTGCTTAACAGGTCTACAAGTCATTCTAAAGAGCATGTACAATCATAGAAGACTTCGCATATTAGCTCATTTTTCTAGTTTATTAATTCATCTTTTTTATTAATTCCATGCAGGTGGTATTCCCTAAATACTCTTTAATAGGTTTTATTAATTAAAGCTCATTACTTTTTATTAAACTTATGGTTTCAGCTTCAGACCGCCGTCAGTTCTGCCCTTGATCGTCTCCAGAGTGAAGGCGCGGATGCTTGCATTTACTACAATGCTTCTAGACGTGTCTGGGTTTATAGAGATAGGCATCGAACTATGGAAGAGATGAGTGAGTTTTCTTTTCCTTATTTATATTGTATACATTACAGTCAAATATGTATATGGTGCTCACATCGCTTTTTTGCGGCATAAACATTGGACCTATTACAATTCATGATTTTTTTCCGTAAATATCTAACTTATACTAATAATATTGACGATTGCGCATTAACCTATAGTTTTTAAAGAGCATATTTAGTAACGTATATCAAAGGTCTTGCCCCTATCCCTTTACATGCCTTGCGTTGGATACAAAGAACTAATTTATATTTTTGCATCATGCAAAGAAGAAAAAAAGATCATATAATTATATCTCTCATTTACACTTCGATTTTGTCATTTTGGCTATTAGAAGATCAAAATTCACCATCACCAAATTCACTTATTTTAATAGTTTGCTCCATTTTCACATTTTACTTCATAGTGAACCATTGTGAAGTGGCATTGCCCGTCGAATTCAATTTATATCTCGCGTCTAGAGTTATGATAACCACATTACATACAATGCATAATTGCATAATTAGTCTATGTAGCTAATAATTGCCTCTTCTTTTATAATTATGATTCAGCAATAGTTTATAGTATTCCTATTAAAGCCAAGCTCGAGCCAGAGCTTTTGATCTGAAGATAGTCTTGCTTGTCCGCACTCAATGTTCTTTTTCACTCTTATTTCCATGCTTCACCCAATCCATATATGCATACCCATTTTTGTCAACGTATATTGATGCATATTAGCGTCCTTTCATTCATGCGTGCATATAACATACTCTTGCCTATACATGGTATCCCATATAAATGCATTACGTACACGCACACATGCGCACATGCACGATGCAAATGAACATACACGATACATACTTGGCAGTGTGGCGCCACCGCGAGCGATGTCTAGCAATCGCAAAACGTCGCTCAGCCTCCAGTGCCGCAGCAGCCTCACAGCGTTCCCAAGCTGCCGGTGGTCAAACCGCTGGGCGGTCAAAGCTTCGGAAACGTGGTTCTACTTTATCTGGCCAACCTGGTGCCAATTCCTCTGGCAATGCTGCAACGCCTGCAACTGCCGTCTCCGGCGGCTATAGCGGAGAGAGTGGTCCGCCTAATGGTACTTATTTATCGCGTCTCACTGCGTCTACTAGCCACTCTCGTTCTTGTCCCAGCAGAGTCTCGCATGGAGGTCTCCGGAGTTCCGGTAGGGGCACACGCCCTACTCGCAATTGCCCAGCCCCTGTAGGACAGGCCGGACGATCTTGGGTGAAGCAAAAGGTGCCTGGTCGGATAGCCAGTGATCTATCTGGTGAGAAAAAACTTGACCCACGTTCATTGTTTTAATTTCTTGGGGTTAGCGATAACAACCAAATGCACAGTGGAAGGATATATTTGTGATAATACATATTGCTATGCTTTTTAAGTACATTCCATAATTGTAGCTGACATGATACACAGATATTACGACCAAGATGTTGTGGACTCTATTTTGGTCACAGTCTCTTTTCGATGTTTGGAAGTAGTTTAATTTTGTTTTCGTAATTTAGTCGTGTTGTCAGAGAGATTTAGTTGGATGCACCTTGTCCGAAGTCTTCTGTTATAGTAGTTATCATAATTCCCGGCGCCGGACCAAGTCTACGGTCGGACGTGGCCAGATCATTGAAGATGCCGGCGAAACGTCTGGGAATGTACCAAG